GGGGGGGGGGGGGGGGGGGGGGGGGGGGGGGGGGGTGAGGGTTGGAAGAGAAATCATGTACTTATGCTACCGGGAATGAAGAAACACTTGAATTTTGTGCAGTGAGCTAAAAAAGGCGAAGGGAAGGGTGATCTGTTTTTCTTCCAGAAGCTTATGTGTGCTTTTTGCGAATGAAAAACGAAAATACTACTAGTTCATATGTAATTTAATGCCTTACAGTGGGGAAATTCATTGCCTGGAAATCTTGTAACAACTTTGAATGGGCGGTCTGGGTCTCCAGCTATGCATCCGTGAACTTTTCCATTGACTAATCCCTTGTCTTTGTGCACCAAACTGAATCGCTGCAATGTTCCCTGCTTTTTACGTATTCTGAGTACATTCAATACTCAAGGGTAAAAAATGCTCCCTCTGCATTTAAAATGATGCGTTCGCCTTGCTTAGTGAATGCACTTGTTCATATCCATTCCGAAACTTACCGATCTTTCGCAGATCTCAGCGTACATTGCTTAAGCTTTATCAAAAATGGTTTTGGTGTAATCTATGATTTTCGTGCTACATGCTTTATCGATTAAGGGTATTGCAAATTTCGGTTATGATGGTTTTTTTTTTATATGACTTGTGAGTTCATTGAAAGGTCAACTAATCAATAATCGTCTGCAGTTGGTCAAAGTCAAAAATCCTCTCGTTTATTTAGGGTTGTTATCGACAGTCTTGCAGCATACGTAGTAAACACAAAAGAAGAATGGGCTGATCATTTGCAGCTGGTAGCACTTTTATATAATACGTCCTTTAACATAGCAACTCTCCAGTCTCCATTCTTTCTTGTCCACGGCAGGGATCCAGATTTTACTGACGGTTTAACTCTTCGCAGGCCGTGCCAGAATTATCAGATGCACAAACCTTTGAAAGTAATGTAGCAGATCATCTCAAAAAAGTGTGGTCAAAGGTATATCAGAATTTGAAAAATGCGTCAGCAAGAAATTAAATTTTGATGAAAACCATAAACTGAGGGCTACAATATTAAAAGAAAATGTGCTAGTACTTTTAAAAGTAGAAGATTCTAACAACGCCACAAAACTCCAGTACAAGTGGAAAGGTTCGTTTCGTGTTACTGCCCTAGGACATCCTAATGCTTTTATAGAGGAAATGTGTTCTGCAAAGACCCAGCGCGTCGACATAAATAAACTTAAACGGTTTTACGCAGAAAACCTTACGGTGTTGCTGAAAGCAACACAGAACAATTAGTATTAGATGCTGCTCCTAAAGACATTTGAAGTCGATCAACACGTTTGCAAGAAAAAGAACAAGCAAGACGTGGTTTTTTTCCATGTTAATAATTTTTAAAGGAATGTTTTATTAATACACTTTGTTATTTTATTTTCAATTCCGACTGAT